GCCAGACAGGCATTTTGACACAATATTGCGAGATATGATCACATGTAAATATATATTTGATTGACGAGATCCTCAGCCCTCTTGATATACTGCTCCATCAGTTTCAAGATCTCCTTCTTGACGTTGCTCAACTGCTGTATCTTTGGCGTCTTGGTGGCAATGGTGCCTAATGATTGAGGGTTAGCTACGTACAGGAAGGAATTTGATATAACAAGATTAGTTAACAGGAACGGGAAGGATATGACACATAGTTGAAGACGAAAAAAGTCGGTTTGGCAGAAGTAAGAAGACTGACCCGCTGCTGCTTTGCGCCTCCCAGTGAAGTGAAGAAATTGAGACCGCAAGCGACAATATTGGCTATGTTGCCTAGAGAGCCGTTAGTATTAACCAGACTTCGTAACCATCGTCCACCATACTTGTTGAACAATCAGGAGGTCACTATCAGGCGTATTCGAACGATTCGACATATACCGTCATGCTCGGTCCTCCACTGAGAATACTGGGAGGTCCAGAGACAGGGAAGCAAAGTGTATGATGGACAGCACGTGCCATACTCTGAGGTCCGCAAACTAATGTAATACCCGTAAGTTGTACATCATTGGAGGCCAGCGGAATTGGTGCTTACCGCTCACAGACATGATGCTCCCCGGTGAATGTCAGGATTCTGGCCGGTCTGGGTAGAAGTCTGGGCACCCCTCGGTACACTCGGCAAATTCAGGTGGAGCCGAAGCAGCGTGTGGCCCACGGTTATTATTATCATCCCACCCCTTTGCTGCCCGCTGCCCGCCAACTGTCAGGAATGCTGCCTCTATGATACTCGGTACGCCTGCTCTTCGTCTTCCTGGCTTGCCTTATTCACATCACGCTCCTTCCCCCTTTTTCTGGACGTGATGTCCATGGCCCATGCGTTGGTATGCAGTCCCTGGCGGCAGCGGGTGAAGTGTGATGTGACTGGTGGGAGAGGTGGGTAGGGGGCGTAGCTATTTTGACGCGGTCCTGCCGCGCCTGCCGCGGTCGTGACGCGGCCGTGATGCGGCGTGACGCGCATGTGACGCGGCACTGACGAGCCTTGACGCGGCACTAACCAGCCTTTGACGCGGCCACTGACACGCCATTCCTATATTCTATATTCCACTTCCAGATCAAGTTGGATGAGTTCACGACCATTCCTTTGTTACTTTATTTGCCTCAGAGCCATGTACAACTAGGTATACATAAGCCAATGACTATTTTCTTTTCCTTCCTCTCTGGACCCTTCGAGCCTGTGGAGCACAGGGCAGACATTCTTCGGCTGGCAGAGAAGGAACTACAGTTTCGGATAGCTCGTCTGCAGACTCCAAAGATGTAGCATCAGAGTTATCACTGAATAAGGGGCTGTGCTGTCAATCACATAGTAAGTTAGATATCTATTGAACGGAGCAGGTAATGTCTTCCTCACTTGAAGTTCACTCTCGCTATAATCTCTTACAGAAACCCATTGCTGGTTGCCTGCAGGTCCTGCTTCTTCGGAATCCTCGAACATCCTTGCTTCTAGTGCGGTCAGACACTCGAGGTTGACGTCAGCCACAAAGCTATTGGTAGGATAGCTTATCATGAGATCAGCCCAAGCCATCTTCAACAGCATGCTATCGTTCCATTCTTCGTTTCGAGCTTCAATGCGTTTTTTGAAATCACTGGCCTTTCGATGAGCGACTACGAGAGTGAAAGCATGCACCAAAGGCATGCCACCAAGCCATTTTTCGACTTGACCGGAGGCACCTGGAACATTCTCCGAGAACCAATGTGCAATTTTGGCATACTCGTGAGATGGAATGTCACCACAAAATGGTATGCTGTATGCACCCACACCATCTGGCTTCTTCTTCGATCGCAAGATGTAGTCTATCACAGGGTATGCCTCCGCACCATATTGGTTCAAGTCTGGACTGTCAAGGAGCTTCTGAAACGAAGCAATATGTGGTAGTAGGATGTCGTCCAGTTCTTTTGATACTTCTGCTGACATGAAGTTTTGAATCAAGTCTTCTTCGCGAGGGGTATCCCAAGAGTGGATCCATTCTCCGAGCTACACAATACTTCGTGTCAAGAGGACCGCGAGTATAACCAGTCACTGTCACTCACACAAATCTCATGCCTCTTAGCTTGGTCCTGCCAAAGTTCATCCACGAGATCCCCTTGCTCAACATCACCAGGAGGTGATCCCAAAGTTAATGGGAATCTGCAACCGCGCCACCAGACCACCTGCCAGCGTACTCGGTTGCGTGCACTAGCAGGGAGGCTAACAGTGTCATAGGACTGAATCAGCCGCACAGGATATCAATACTTCCTGAGGCGAGCCAGAGCTCCTTTGCCAGCACTATAGGTGAGTGATCAGCCATATCTCGATTCTCAGCTAGGGTTGGAAATCAAAAAACAAACATCAGACGTGTGTGAAGTGGAGTCGGTTTCTTCTTTGTTGTGGCTTTTCTGCTGCTCCTGAGTTACGGATGTCAGTTTATGTGAGAGGCACAGTTGTTTAAACTTACTTGCGGGTAGGTGGCACTTTTGACTCCTGGGTTGAGCATCCATCGCAATAAAATGCTGCCTTTGGATGAAGATTGCTGGCTCGGCCACCTCTCTGACAAGCAATGTGTGACCAATTTTCACACAGATCACACCTGACTATGCTGTTGTAATGATGTATTAACTTGGCGACCTCGTCCACCTCGTCCACGCACTGAGGTAGATGTCAAGGGTGCTCCACTTGTGGTGTCATTAGTACGTGTCCGAATTTCCCTCGCAGCACCTTCAAGAATTGCAAGATTCATATCTGGTTGCCTAATTGGTATCCGAAGACCCTGCATGTGCTTTGCATTATGCATTTGCGCAGTGTTGAGTATGAGGTCACCAGGATCCCCACTATGATGTATCGCAAGCTTTGTTTTTGAAGTCTTGACACGTTCTTCATAAATGAAATCAGTGCCTGATGCTGCACATTTGTGCAGTTGACATTGATGTTGCAGATTTGCTGTACATAAAATTTGCTTTTCAGAGATTCAGTGACGACATAGGTTTATGTATTAGATAAATTACAAACCTCAATAGGATAAAGTAAAAATCCCCCATGTGGCCTTACAGCAGGCATCGAGTAGGATGCAACTGATTCACCAATAATGCCACATTCGAGAAGTATTGCATCTGGATGTAGACACATATCTGCTTCAGAATCTTTGCGCTGAATCAGTTCTCGGACACATGCTACTATGGGAGACTGTTCTGCAGTGTGATTGACTGCAAGGACCCAGTCTCCAATTTTACAAATATCTCCATTAAAAAGAACAACAGACTTGCACGTTCGGAAATTATTTCCTTCCAGAATATTACGTGGAAGTGATGCAAGTGCATCAGGGAAATGTTGTCCTGTCTCGGTAGCCATGTATGTTCGGAGTGGTAGGCTATCACGAATGCACTGGCCTACAGACACTAATACTTAGCATGTGATCACATCAACCAGAGTTTCGTCAAACCTCACCATATTTTGTAGTGTCCTGTAGAGTGTCAAGTCCAAGATAATCTGTGATAATATTTGGTCGTCGAATGAGAGTCAATGGGCCCTTTCCAACGACAACATTGACTTCTGACTTGGGTAGTCCATGTATGTCTGACGAAGAATTGGAGACTTCGAACTGGACAGGGCTGTTAGACTCAGAGTTGTGGGCTTTGGTATTGGGATCACGGATAAGTATTCGTGCTCCAGAGAGGATATGGCGGATACGACTTCCATGAGCAAAAGAATGTGCAATATCCCGAGAAGGAGCACAATGGTTCGAATGAATGCTCTTTGCTCGGATGACTGCATTAAATGATTCAAAAGACTCTGTTGCAAATAAAGCAGCTGGCCCAAATCGTCGAATATGATCAACAACGTGTAATATTATGTGAAACTTGGATTTGTTGAACCATCGAGGGGTCCACATGGCAGTACATGCGAGAAAGTTGTCAATGGCGACTGTGAGTTTGTTCTATTGAACACAACTTAGTTCAAGTATTACTGCTATGACGAGGCTGAAACTACAATACCTACCAGATGATCTGTGCAATCATCGATTTCAGGCTGCCAAATGAGTGGCATCAGATTTGACAGTGCGACCCAGGTATCGTAACAATCCTTTGGTACCAAGTCGTGGAGGACGAAGGGTGCAATCTGTGCAATGGCACGAAAATCACGACCAACAAGAGATCCTGCATACTGAACTAGCGTGTGGCCATTGAGATTGCTAAGTCCAAGACCTGCAACATTAACAGAGGAGAGGCGAGTCTCCAAAAGCTCACGCTTCAACTTGTTTTGTCCAATCCGTATTGAGATGGCATCACGCCAAAAATATTTGACAAATCCCAGAAGGACAGTATGGAGAATCTCCACGGGCGTGTCCGTGTGAGGATCAAGACCTGCAATATCAACAAAGTCAATCCTAACTCAATATCAATCAAAACTTGTTAAAAGACCTTTGACTCGCCACACTGGACTGATGACATTTGCGGGCAACATCTCTTTTACCCTGTTGAGTGCTTCCTGCTTCACACTATTGCCTCCACGAATTTTGCTGTATGACTGAGCGAGGCAATTCAAAAACGATTCGAGGAAAGTGTCTTTAATGCCAGTGGCGGTCTTCCTTTGCTTGATCCTGGTCTGGTTCCCAACCGTTGATGCATCAACAAACATTGACTTAAGTTCAGCTACAGTTTCGTCCTTGCAGCGTGCTTCTCCTATCTGCCATAATCAATCATTAGATTCCACGAGTCCGTCGCTCACTTATATTGAATATTACCTTGACGAACTGCTTGACCCGAGTTACCAACTCTTCCATAGTTTCTTTTGTGCATTTCCGTGCAGACTTTAGAGGAGCATCATTACGAGTCTCGTACTCACTTCCACTAAACTCCTCGCTATGTTGTTATCGTGATCTTCGGCTCGTGTGGTATCTTGCGCAGAATTACTCTCCTTCGCCACTGTACCATGACCCTTAACTTTGCAAATCCGGCAGAAATACTTTCCCATTGAACCGATGTGACAGGCCATCTCACTTTGCATGGGGTTGTCTCCGAGCAACGCCAATACTGACAGAATGACAAGAACATATTCTTCGTGGACACAGTCCCAGGCCCAGATGCCATGCTCCCATGCGTTTCTGAATTGTCTGAATTAACACTTCTGCTCTCCTGCTCATGATAAATCTCACTTACTCCAGTTGGTCGACAATGCCGTCCAACATCTCGAGCGGAGGGGCAAGATTCGAAGTACAAAGAAAATGAACATTGTACTCTTGATGGACTGCTGTTCGTGGTAATCCTGCAGGCGTAAAAAGAAAGGAATTATGCTTGTTCCACTTTTTCGATAAGTTGCCTGATGTGTCGTCACAGTATAACCAGATAGGCATTGCATATACACGAGCACCAGAAGCCCGAATACGCCATTGATTGCCTTCGACAGGATTAGTCAATGTCCATGGCTGTAGTTCGCCATCCAGTTCACGTTCAATGCCTAAGCAGACATCAATGACGTGCAACAGCAGAGGAAGAACACACTTTACCATATATATGGCATGCACGAGGTAGTCCAGATGTTGCACCACTTGAATCCCAGTTTTTGAATGATACAAGGAGATCGTCTTCTGATACCTCGAATGATTGAAATTGTTGTACGATCCACCCGCAATTCATTTCACGAGCAACTGGCTGCAACCGCCAAGCCCTAGCATACATTTTCTTGCAACGAATGAACCAGCGAAACGGCATGCAGGCTTGGCCGCTGGTTAATAATGCAGGCTCGAAAATGAAGAAATCTTGATTTTGCAGTCGAACAACAGGTGTAAGTAGCTCCGGATCAAGTTCCTCGAGCCAGTGTTTGGCTTGCCAAGCTTCATTTAGTTTCGTACCAGCATCTTCAGGGTAAAAGTGCAGCAGCGGGCGAACTCGAGGATTCATCATTTCCTTCAAAGAGTACTGAGAGTGTGATCGTTTTCATTTCTGCAGTATGACATACCTGCTGAATAAGATCAGCCAATGAGTTAACATAGTACCTATGCCCAAGAGCGCCATCATAAGGAATCGAGCGTATACCACACAATCTTTGAATTGTGTCTTCGATGCGTTTGACAGACTTTACAGAAGGCACGTCATCTACATTATTGACCCGAAGTAGCCACAGCAAGATATCAATTTGTCGCTCTGAAAAAACTGAACGTGGGAGGTGCATGAGAATATCAAGTGTACATGTCTAAAAACCTGCCGGATCAAAAAAAAGTAGCAGGCAGATCAATACAGACGACTTACAATTTTATCTGGCCACGGGAACCATTCCTCATTCACAACATGTTGTCGAGAACGCTTTCGATCCCTGCCAGTTCCAGCTCGGATGTCAGGATCATCAGGATCATCTTCTGCTCAAAATTCAAACAGTGAGTGGCACAGTACAATGTGTATTTAGAGTAGCATACCATCATGCTGCATCCGTCCCATAGAAATCCCTTCATCATCTGACATCTCGACTGCGTGATCATCCGACAGGTCATTTTCATCTAAAAAGTCACTCAACCCTTGAGCAATCATTGCCTTTGTAATCGCAGGCGCAGATTGTCCGAAACGGTCACTATGATCTCCACCATCAATCTCACCAGCCATTGTGGCAAAATAGTCGTAGACATTGTTTGTTGAGTCGCCCAGCTCGAAATCAGGAGTAGCCATGTCATCGAGAAGAAGATGAAGTCCTGCGACAGACTTATCCTTCATAGATTGAGCCTCGGCTTGTGCTGAACTGTCCCCTGCACGATTCTGCCGTTTCGTTGAGTGATATTTAATTGAATCTTGATGTGTTCTCGTCGTCTGATGTACCTTAGCGGCCCGCTGAGTATGAGGCTTATTGTCCTGGCAAAGGTTGCAGACCCATTTGTCTCCAACGACAGGCGTCCAAACTAAAATTCATTACGATCTTGGGTGTCAATAATCAGAAACTCGTCGAGATCACTCCATACCATTAGGGTCGGGAAATTCTCCATCCAAGTCAGGCATAGTGAGTTGAGAACGGACCTGTGGATCAAATGATTATTACACTGACAGACAATAGAGCAACGACACGAGGATAATTGTAGGAAGCCATTGATAGATAGTACCTACAGGACAGCACTGCGGAGTAACACCGTTTGCAGGATAGATGAGTTTCGGCCGTAGTGAATTGACTGAATGGGCTTGTTGAACGAGTAGTTATCGTGCTGACAACAAACAGACGAAAGCCTAGTGATGACTAGAAGAAGTCCTACGCGCACTGCGCCTATAGGGCGGAGTCGCAGAATGGCGTTGTTCCTAAGATAGATTGCTCTTAGCGGATGGTCAAATTCGTTACGCATCCCAGGTTGGACTTCGAATGAACCTGAGGCCATCCGCTCGGCAACTCCCGGACAATTGAGCATCAAGACTTCGTCTTTTTTTATATTCCACCGAAGGAGCGTATTCCTTCTCAGTGCTCGATCCTTATTCAAAACGGTACGAGAAACGTAGTTTATTTACATTGAGTGCAAAAACGATCAGGTTGACCTCAGGCTTAACTAACTTCTTGGGGTGTAATGCAACAATATAGGACTGACGCGCAAGATGCATACTAGTAGTATGAACGCAGAGGACAAGCACTGTAAATTTGGTGAGAGGTGAATACAGCACTATAGAGGCTGTACGCAGGCAGACACTCATATGTTGATCATTAACGATGATTCAAAGTGTTTGGAATGCGATATGAAGTTGTGTAAACATGATCTGTACGTAGGAATTTGTTACAGTGCCGCGTCAATTTCACCTGGCCCGCGGGTAGGTGATGAGTCAGCCATGCTCGTAGGAGTGCCGGCGTCTTCAAACTCCGTCAGAGCATCGCCACCTGTACCAAGACTTGTACCCAGACATAGACTTACACCAAGACCGGCCATTTCAGGAACGTCCTCGCTCCCCGAGGCCACGCTAACCTCTTCTTTGAACATTGCATCCAGGTCCGATCGTCCATTTTCCATCTTGACCCCGCGCAACGATAATAACATTGGCGACGTCAAAGAACCCTTCTTCATCACAATCTGTTCGGGAGTACCGTTCTCTGTTGGATTCGAAAGGCCGGAAACCTCTTCCATAGACTGTGTCGCTGATGAAGAACCAGTGTTAAAGATACGGGTGGATAGCGTCAAAGAAGGCGGGGCAAGCTGAACGGCCTTGATGAGTGCTGCTTCGAAGACACTCGTGGCTTGGCCCGCTGTTGAGTATCTGAGTGGGGAGTAACGGACCGAGATCTATGAAATTGTGGGTTTTCCGACACGATATACCAATAATCTATTTAGTTATTTGACGGCGTCAAGCAACGAAGATATCAATACAACAAAAATTACTTCATTCTGTAGCAACACTCCTTGTATCAAGATTGAGACACCGGGGGAAGCTAATGACGGTAATGTGACCACGAAAGTGCACTTCATAAACCCTGTCATCGGGAAAAATAAAATATAGGTGATTAGCTGAGGGAAACAGCTGTGATTCGCGTTTCAGAGGGACCAGCCTGTCCCCACTGACCCGCTCAAGTACTTCTAGGTCCTTTATATTGCCGATACGAGTTCCGTTAGAAAGGAGGAACTCCAGCAGATGTACATGGTGGTCTCTCAACTCCATTATTCTTCCAGTGATACCAGAGGAAACACTAAACTTTTTGGTGGTATCATTGTCTGGTAAGGGATACTGTGGATCTTTAGCATTTAGTAATATGTAGAATTCAAAAATACTTACCGACAAGTCTGTATGTGGTTGGGTGGCCCAACTGTCGTCTACGCCCCAATGCTTGGGATAAATGCTAAATGTTTGACTGACTAATATTAGTCATAATATTCCCTAGCTCTCCGAGGAGACCTACCGAGTGCGAGTCATGTACTGAAAAATCCTTGAATTTAGAGGTAAAGGAGTGGCTGATAATTTTTGTTTGAGGAAGGAATGAAATCAGTGACCTTAAGCTTGGACGTGGAGCGAGCCAAATATTTGGTGTTTGAGAAAAGTTGGGTGAATGGCGCACCAGTTTTGGAACGCCGCGGCTCTCTGTTTGACGAACCGTGTTGAGAACGTTCGGGAAATGGCGACTATAGGCCCTTACGTAGACTCTGGGCCCCTTCGGCAGGGCTTCAGGCGGAGTTTAAACGTTGTGCTCAATCGTTCCAGTCTCATTAAAACTTTCTCGCAGCCAAGGCAGCTTATGAAACGTCTATTCGGGGTCAAAGTATGCTCTTATACTTCTCATCGTGTCTCTTCTGAAATCTCTTGCAGGACGTGGAAGAAATTGTTGAGGATGGAGCTCCGTCTGGAAAGAAAGACTACTTAGTTTCGGACACTTTCAGTGTTAAAGATATGGATCCTAGGGTTGCAAAACTTGGACCATCCGGCCCAACGTGTGAGGCCATCAACCTCATGATATTTCTGATGATGCGCGGTGTTCGAGTCATTTTATTCTGCAAGGTCCGTGCCACAATCCAGACTTAATTGGGCTTCAGTGACCTAACTTAAAAGAATTCAGATTCGAAGAGCTTGCGAACTGGTGAGCCAGAGTGACACTTAACTTTGAGTTGACCCGGGATTGATGTCCGAAGGCGATGAAAGCTCTGCGCCAACGACTTAGCGCCGAGGGGCGCCTAGACATTCTTGCAAAGATCATGCCTTACAGAGGAGGTCAGTGTTTGTTGGGGGCATCTTATTAACCTGCAACTCATCACATGTAAATATATATTTGAATGTCAAGATCCTCAGCCTTCTTGATATACCGCTCCATCAGTTTCAAGATCTCCTTCTTAACGGTGCGCAACCGCCGTATCTTTGGCGTCTTAGTGGCAATGGTCCCTAATGATTGGGGGTTAGCTACGTACAGGAAGGAGTTGGGAAGGCTGAATCACGAACCTTCCCGAGCTACCGTCTCGCTGATGATGCCGCTGACTGCCTTGTACAGACCCAACATGACCCGCCCCACCTGAGGCAGGTAGAAGCTGCCAATAGATGCACAGGCAGACACGTTTGTCTTGAGGACATTAGATAAAATTTTGATATTATCAAGGTTGCTTAGGACATCCATATTCTGCGCCGCTTGAGCCGTCAATGAATCCCACTTGATAAAATTGTGAGCAAGGGACTTCTTTTGCTGATGAAAAAGGTACACACAGCGTTATTCGGTAGTCCATCAGATAATCTAGCCACGAGACCAGCCTCGATGGCAGTAAGCCAAACCAAGGCAGCTGAGCCCTGGATAAGCGAGGACCCGGATGTAGTTGACTGGAAGGGAAGAGTTAAGAGACGAAGAACATCCGTGGGCCTGTGATATAACAAGATTAGTTGACAGGAACGCGAAGGATGTGACGCATAGTTGAAGACGAAAAAAGTCGGTTTGGCAGAAGTAAGAAAACTGACCCGCTGCTGCTTTGCGCCTCCCAGTGAAGTGAATCAAAGCGCTGACAACGAAGAGATTGAGACCGCACGCGACGATATTGGCTATGTTGCCTAGAGAGCCGTTAGTATTTACTTTTGGTGTCCTCACTCTGAATTGATACCCACCCAGGCGGAGGCGGCGAATTGAGATAGACCGGTCAAGACCCTTGCATCATTTGTTTGTAACTAATGAGCGAATGAGGTTAGAAAATGGGCAAGGAATATGGATTTACGCAGACCTGGCGACAAAAGAGATTGGACCAGGTGTATGACGGGACCTGGGAGCAAAGTGTTTGGAAATCACCAAACTGAATCGTGTAGGACGTCCAAAGCTCTAGAGTCGTCAAGCAACCAAGCAAGCAATTGAACGCTGCATGTAAGAAGATATGAAGACACCGCAAATAAACTCAGAGACAGGAGCCGTTAGACTCCTCAGACAACGTTACTGTTTGTCTATGTTGTCAAATTGCGAACTGGTGTTCTCAAGTTTCCTTTTATGTAAACACCCCTTGCTCCGTTCTAAGTATACTTGGTATAGTCGCACCAGAACCGGGGAAAACGAAAACGAGACTGCGTTGCGGTGTCGGGAGACTGAAAAAAATGAGTTAGTAAAGTTACATAAATGGAGTAGCAATTGAGCTGACATTAATGGGATTCCAAGTGGCAAGACAACCATTGCGGTCGATGTCTGGGACGGTGAGGAGAGAATTAGGATGACGCTCGCTGTTAGAATCTGGACTACTGGGTGGAGAAAGGTCATTACTAGAAATACAAAGTTGCTGCATTGAAATTGCAGAGAGCATCACAGGCTTCGACGACGAGGAGGGCGATGATGGTGATTTGGAGCTGAGTGTGTAAGCAATTGAAAGGTTGGATGACTAAAACTATAGCGGCTCGCCGCTCGCATCAAACTAACTGACAAGACATCGCCGAGGATAGGCCAGACAGGCATCTCCAACAATCAACCTACGGCGAACGCCGGCTTGAACACTCCGAACCGGTTTCATACGCAAAATGAACCAGGTGGATCAGGAGGTCACTATCAGGCGTATTCGAACGATTCGACATATACCGTCACGCTCGGTCCTCCACTGAGAATACTGGGAGGTCCAGAGACAGGGAAGCAAAGTGTATAATGGACAGCACGTGCCATACTCTGAGGTCCGCAAACTAATGTAATACCCTATTTTGGGTGTTGAACCGGGGAATGCATGTTATGACTTTATGCATCGGGGAGAGAGGAAGACAGGCAGTTTATAACCTTCACTTGGGTTAGAAGGCAAGGTACTCGTCAAAATGTTGGATGAAATCATACACGATTTAGGAAACACGAAGGCGAAGATGTAGACTGTAAGTCGATCTTGTTCATGGCTGCTCTGTAAAAATATAACGTTGAAACGAAACATGAGCACGCGTTGAGAGATTTGAGCATTGTGATTCTCATGTCATTGAATTTCGTGCCAACATCCAATATTTGACATTCCAAATTCTGTAAATACATAGGCAGTGTGAAAGAAAAACATCGATGCGAGATAACAAGGGGAACCCGATCGATATCAAAGTATTCAATCCTAGATCAATATTCAATATTTTAACACTGAAAATACACGAGCGACATGAGCAATGCAAGATAACAAGACAGCAAGGCATTGGGTACATAAAATCGACAGTTTCAGGCCCGGGACTAAGATGACCCTGTAGCTTCGATGAGGCATTCCTTTGTGCGTAGGTCAGGTGCCGAATACATACACCATGGTCAACACCGAGCAATTATATGCGGTGAGACTCGCTGAATAAACGAGGTCGTTGCGCTAACATTCTCAAAGGTGCCTAAAGCGACTCAACAAGCGATACAAGGCAAGCGCGCGAGGATCGTCAAAAAACAATTACCAGCAGCAATGAAGGTGGAGAGAGCAAGTCAACGGACTCAACTGCAGATGGAGGTAACAAAGAATGCGCGCAGGAGGCAGCCATAACGACCAACACGTTCTATGAGCCTACCGTACTCCCAGATTACGGAGGAGAGCTGTTTCAGCATGCCAATGCCAAACTCTGTCAGCTGGATATCAGGAATGTGGAGAACATATTGATCCCACCTCAAGAATGGTACTCCAGCCTCAGGCGCGGCACTCTCGTCACGATCAGGGCGACTCTACATGCTTTCAATTGGAAAGAACACCGGGTAAGCACGATCCATTCGAAAACCGTTCGAATTGTAAGCGTCACAATGATATAGATTTACCAATTAAACGCACATACTATTCGTGCTATCGTGTTGGGCAGAAGCCCAGGGCGGATGTTTTAAAACAAAGGCAAGTTTTTCAAAAAGAATGGAAGTTTGACATCTAAGGAACCACAAGTCGCAAAGGCCATCATCTGCAGGCGGGACGTTCAAGTAGCACACAAAGACATCAAGAAATGAGGAAAAAGACAAGGAGGGAAGAACCGAAGGAAAAGTGAGAGTCGTATCACCACAAACCGATTCCCACGAATAGCAACTTATGTAAGATTTAAAAAAAACTGGTTCCGCAAGGTATCCAGATGCCAGTGGGCAACGTCGACCACTAGTGTGAGAAAAAAAAGGAAAGGTAGCGGGCTTTGCCACTTTAGCTGGCACTACCTGCTAATATATAGTAGACTTTATAGTGAAACCTAAGAGCTAGTACGGTAACCAAAGTTTGACTGAAGTTGACAAATTTGGAATACTACGTCGGTACAAGCCGATGTCGGGGTTTTAACATGCATAACCGTGACACTACTGATTAAGATTGTTAGTAACCATGTCTCGCAACATGGAACCACTACCCTTTGATCCTCTGTTCAATAGACCATTACTTTCCGAGCTGTTACTTGATCGACTCATTCCACCGCCGGACCAGGCAAGATCTGCAGGATCGGTGACCCAAGAACGACTCATTCGATATGTGCTACTCATGATCAGTATCATCGTTGCTGCAACTGAATCATTCCTGGAAACCGCATTGCCAAAA